GTGGATTCCGTTCGGTCCGCAGCACCATCGATATGGTATTTGCGGCTCGTCAGTTGCAGAAGTGTAGAGAACGACACCAGCCGTTGTACTCGCTGTTTGTTGATTTCACCAAAGCACTTGATAAGGTGAATCGCGGCGCATTGTGGCTTGTGTTGGGTAAGTTTGGTTGTCCGAGTAAGTTTGTAAGTTTACTGGACTTGACCACGTTTAACGGGCTGCAACCACAAATTATGTAAATGTATCTTGCTGACATCATCGTCTTCATTAGTGTACGTTAGCTGAAGGTTTTAGGCACACCTCAGCTATTGTACAGCAATACTAACACGTGTATGAAAAAGAGATATACAAAACGTTACAGAAAACTACAATTGAATAAGTAACAGATGTGTGGCTTGTGAGATCGTCGTTACATAGGGAAGATAAGCGGGGGGCAGATGGACTAAGAAACTCAAAACCAAGGAAGTTATTGTGGTCGGCTCTTCTCCACGTCAACACTAGTGTATCCAACCAAACGTGCTTGCCGTCATTCGGACCTCCGCCCGCTAGTCTGAAAGCTTTAATGCCTGCCAACTTGGAAGTAAGGGTCTTCATTCATCTTGACCAATTCATCGGTTGGCCTCCACTCTTTCTATCCAAACCCCGGTATCGCGAACAGCTCACGTCGCGGGAATTGGTGTGGTAGTGTGCACAACACTTGAACCATTCATCAAAGCCTGGTTCGTAATATAACTGCGCTGAACGGTTCACTCGCTTTTCCTGCACCAAATACACGTCCCCGAACACGCTCAATGCTCACGCGGTGTTCTCACTAGACGTGCTAAACTGCGAAGACTGCGATGGTCGAACGTAGCTAGGCTCTTTAGGTCTCGCAATCTGATAGGCTATTTATCATAACCGTAAGTTAGGTTTAAATAGTCGGTTGCGTTGTAACTTCTGCTCTTCAGGGTGACGGTGATGTTGCGCCGGCGTCACAGGTGGTGGAGACTTACGGGGCCTTCAAATTCGGCCGTTGCTGTTCTCCTTGTATTATTTTACACCACAGACTGCGGATTCTATATTTTCTTTTAAACTTCGAAGCGATTTGTTTTTTATGCTCAGGTCTCAAGGTCAACGATGTCCTATTCCGTCAACCATTTAAAAACGTTACGTGTTACTGCCTTAAATCCGTGCCTTATTGAATACGGCCACAAAGTCAAGACTCTTGCAAACATATTACGAGTAAATGTCTTGGAAAAATGCGCAAGCACCGTGCTGGCTGGCAATCTGGCCTCAGTCGTTGTTCTGTCGACAAAGCGCAAGTCCCCCTGATACTTCCCGGTAATATTCGCTCGCTCCTTGGTAAAATCAGTGATTTCAATGCCATTATGCAGCGAAATGAGTATGTTAATACAGAAATTATTCTGTTACAAGAAAGCTGGTTGCATGCTGATGTGGAAAATGGGGTAATTCAACTTGATGGTTATTTTCCCATCAGGTCTGACGCCCCGGGAAGCCCCAGTTCCGTGGTGGTAGCGTTATAACTTACGCTAATCAACGTTGGTGCAACTCAGCAAGCATCATATCTACGTACTCAACCATTTCTATAAGCTGCCATTTAGTTGAGTGCAAACCGAAGTTCCTAAGTGGCTTTCGATCAGATATCGTTGAAAACGTATATATTGCTCCTGACACATCCGTATCCGAGTTAAAGCTTTTTGAAGACCAAATTTCTTCAACGCTACTGCTTAAATTAGATTGTTCTATCTGTATTGTTGCTGGCGAGTTCAATAGGAAGGATACAACATTCTTGAAAACACTTGGCTTTGTGGACCCGATGACTGTTTCGACCAGACAAGATGCTCAGCTGACGCTGTGTTCACAAATAAAGGGCAATTGTTTGCCATACAAAAGCCAGCTCCATTGAGCAGCTCAGACCATTGTATTTTAAAACTGTGTCCAGTCATCTACAAAGGTCTAATATTTTAAAGCTGAACAGACGTACTTAGAAAGTTATCAAACGGCAAAATTGCTCCTTGGAAAATATCACGAGGCTCCAGACCATGTTTTCTTTAACTGAGTTTTCGGTATTCCACGACGTGGATCTGTCGCTCGAATATGATCATTTTACGAACTACATCAAATATTACTTCGACATGTGTTGCCCTGTTGAAACGATCTATCTAAGGGCAGATAGATTTTCATTACCACTATTAAGGCGACTTTTTCCCTGCGTCTGAAAGGCCGTGTATACAAGGCCACAGTGAAGGCCGTTCTGCTCTATGGTAATGAGACTTAGCCGCTTCGGTCTGAAGATCTGAGGCACCTTCAAGTCTTTGATCATCGTTGTCTGCGAAGCATTGCTGGAGTCGGATGGCACCAGCGTGTCCGTAATGATGATGTGCGTAGGCGAGTACTAGGTGGTGATAATCATGCTAGCTTTCTAGAACAACAGATAGCACTGAATAAGTTGCGTTGGCTCGGGCACGTGCTACGTATGCCTGGTCACCGCTTACCTAGGAGGGCCCTGTTTAGTGTGCTAGGTGTAGGGTGGCGCAAGGTTCGAGGTGGACAGCAGTTGACTTGGCAGCGGTAAATGAAGTCATTGACGACCAAACTGGGTGCCGTTAATCCGTCTCGTCTTCCGGGCTGGAGTGCACGTGACTCGCCTTGTGCTTGGCTCGAGACTTTACAGGACATGGCTCGCAGTAGACACCAGTGGCGCGTCTGCTGCCGTTTCCTAATCAGATTGCCTGTTTAAAGTATGTTTGGTACTGAGTTTTCTGCGTGGTAATGGCTGATTATGACACGTGGCATTGAAAGCCGCAAGGAAGCTGTCTCGCCGATGCCGCCTTATCTTTGCACGATAGCCAGCTGTTTGTGAAGGTATGTTGTCTACACAAGGTGTAGGCGCCTTGACCCTGAATGTTTGCTTAGGGCATTAAGGTTTTCATGTAAGTCCCCTTTCTCTCCCTCTTCTTATTCTTTATTTCATAGGTCATCCTGGTTGTATGGCAGCTAGGCATCAGTTCAAATGGCTGATGTGCTGCTATTGATGATGACTAAGGCTACTTCGAAGAATGAAATGATGTGTCTACAAGTGCAACAATGCTACCCGTGTCAAAAGCCTAACCATGCCAGTTGAATCCGAGATAAAACGACTATACCAATAATACATCAAAGCATTTGTAGGCAACCATGACTATCGCGATCCTTGGAGGCTTCTGAGGCTGCTCCGTGGTAAGAGCGTTTGCAAGCTTAGAGGTGAAGAGGATGTGGATAAACTAGGTTCGGAGTTTAGTTCCGCCTCACTAAGCTCATCTTCCTTGCTCTTTTTCATTAGCTCAAGTCCCGCCGCGCCCATTGATCAAATCACCGTCAACAAGGAACTCAAAAGATTACAGGCAACCAAAGCTTATGGTCCAGATGCTCTCTCACCATTAGTTTTGAAGGAGTGTGCTAATTCTCTCCTACTGCCTTTAACAGATCTCTTTACTAAATGCCTCACTACGGGAATGATCCCGGACATTTGGAGAACGGCCAGTATCACTCCAGTACATAAACTGGATCTCGAAATTATCGCCCGATTGCATGTACATCCGTGCTCCTGAAAGTTTTCAAAACATTGCTAATTCCGCGAATTTCTTCAACCGTTCCTGGCGATCATATCGTCCAGTTTGCCTATAGACCCCAGCACTCCACATCGTATTCAGTGGGATATGTTGTTCATTCTATAGCCTCTGCATTAGATCGAAAATGTAAATCCGTACGGTTTCTCTTCCTGGATTATTCAAATGCTTTTGGATGCTTGGATAGGGCAAGGGTGCTAAACCTGCTATCCGAAAATGGAGTTTACCCTATAGAGCCTATTCCGGTTCGATTTGGTTGCCCCACCATATATTGATAACACTACAATATCGTCCACATAATCATAGTGCTATTCATACTGATACCCAACCACAGTAATCTCCTTCGAATTGAGGCTTGCTTTTGCTTCATTTATTTCACCGTTTGCGGCGCTGCTCATCAGTGAAACGCACAACAGAAACCTTTTCCATACTATCCACATTTAGAATCGCTATAATTTATTGCTGATCTGTCATCGACCCACAAGTCCTCCACTTTACTAGGACTGCCTTATCAACCCTCTTTTTTGTTCGTCACAGGAAATATCTTGATTGCACTGTTTTTAGTCTGCAACCTCTTAAGTGACATACTATTGATTTTGGAATTTGATTGTTACATCTGTTTTTGTAGTAAATCTAACCCCATTCACCAAACCTTTTTGACATGAATTCTAACTTTCTTCGTGTTTTCAAACTGCAGTGTTTTACAGAACTTAGTAGACACACCACCGTCTCCCACGTTTCCCCGGCAGCCATTCGAACTGTGCTTCTACTCTTCTTTCTCAGCTGCTATGCCACCTCTGGTAGCAAAATCGCTTGTCCCGTTGCTTTCCACATCCATCAGGCACACGTAGCTTCGAAGACCCCCAAGCCACTTACCTAGATGTAAAACTATTAGCCTTTCGATCCTAATACGGTCGCTATTTTTCGTGTTGATCAGAGACAACTTATCGTCTCCCGCAACTTGTCTACTCTGCTCATACTTCACTGACTCAGGAGGCGAATACGCTGTTTTCATTTTGGGTCCTCTTTTAATATCAAACCACCCATTTAGTCTACTTCAAGTCCTACTCAAGCTGGTCGACTGTCTTGTCGGATTTTCCCCCACAGAAGCCATCCGATAAATAAAGGAATGGGGCTTGAGGAAGTTGGCCGAATATCTTAGTTGTACCTCTGTTTGACATTACTGGTGTGTGGACATCTGCTGCTGTGAAGCCTTTTCAATGCTCGTGCATCTCTATTGCTTTTGCATACTGCTCCCTTAAGTTTGTTAGTCAGCGCCATTGATTCGGTGGTTGTAGACCATTTATATAATGACAATACTGTGAGACATGCATTATTCACTGTGGTCACACTTGTCTTCAACTACTACTCCACTTTGTTTCACTCCACTTCTAGGTTTCCAGACGGATTTCAAAGAGTTCACGGACGCCGGACACTCATTCGCGGGCTAATGGTCAGTTTTCTAAATGGCCTCGTGTTAGTTCTAAGCAATAATTCCCGGATGTCACATGAAGTGGCTGCAAATTTTCAGCTTCTCTTGGCCTTTTCCCATTTTGTTGGCATCAACCGATGTCGCAGCGATCTTGAGAGCCAAACATATACCCCTTGCGCAAACGCCCCCATTCGTACTGGGAGGCGCTCCCTCCTCTATGACAGCCCTGGATGTTTTTTTTTACTTTTGTTAGGCCTGATCGAGCCTCAGAAAAGAAGATGCTCACGGTTGAATGTCGAACATTTCATTTTCTTTTGTGCATTGAATAGTCTCATGGACCCCTGTGTGTAGTTGAGTGTGTAGTCCAAGATACGACCTATTAAACTAGAGCGCCTTACCTTTCGTAAACATTCCGAGTAACATCGGAAGATGTCTTCTCATCTGAAAAGTGGCAAGCCTTAACATTTCTCACCTAGCAGTGAAGTTCTATATGCCATCGCAGCCCTCATTCCTTTTCTCGCTGCTTCTCCCGTCTCTCGCAACCGCACCATGTAAGTATGGTAGTGAGGTTCTCTGCAAAGCAATGACTTTCCTGTTCGAACAGGTCTGCAAGGAAGAGACAATCCCTGTTAACTGTTATGAAGTCATCATAGTGCTAATGTAGTTAAAGGCTAGTCGCGTCGAGTGTGCGAACCACAGATATATTAGCCTGACACCGGTAGTGACAAGGCTAGTGACCTCAATTGCTGTATGTCGCCTCACTGCTTGGCGGGGGTCTCGCTTATGGGAAGAATAGGCAGGTTTCCTTAAGAGGCGCTGTGCAGAACAATAACATGTGTACTGCAGACAGACAATACCTATCTTTCTCCACTCTGAGAATGCGTTCGACTTTGTCGATCGATCCACTCCGTTCGAGAGGTGTTCCGATGAACTTTGTGAACATCTTATATATTTTGTACTCGAACACCACAAGGTGCTTCTGAGTCTGCTATGACCTCCCGGGTGTCTTTTTGACAACAAGTGGCGTCCGCTAGTTTGTCCTACTCTTGTCCACTTTCGTTGTGGACTCCATCATAATGTGTTCCCTTGTATGATCTAACATATCTCTAGTGGAGAACTAGCTAATCTTGATTATGCTGAGAAAATGGTCTTACTGTTTATCGATGTTGAGGTAAACCAGTCAACCTTGTTTACCATCCCTGGTTTGTGCTCACGATTTGGTCTGCGCTTTACACTTTCGAAGTACCAAGTGCTGAAAGCGGACCAACAGTCACCTGGTAACCCGTTAACCTTTATTTCATGGAACTTGTGCTGGTTAGTCAGATCACCAACTTTGTCAGCTGCCTGAACAGCGATAGGTGCGTGGCTAATAATGATGATAATAATAACATTGTATATTCTCGCCTTTACGAGGAATGCTCTTTTCGGCATGATCAGATTTTTACAATCGTTTCCTACGACCTTTTCAGGCGGAAATAGACATCGTGCTTTTAACATCAGTGGTTATCCAGTTCAAAGACTTGAATGAGCAATACTTCATGGCGGCCTGACGGAGAGCTCCGTGTACGGAAGGAACCAAGTTTTCTTTTCCTTTGGTAAACGATGAAGAACAATTGTTTGATGATAGGAGAAATATTAAACCTGTAATCATAATTATTAGACTGAGCTTAGGTCATGTATTGCAAAGCTAGGGCTGCCTTCTTGTACCTGCGATATGTGTGGTTTCAGAAAGGCGTTCCCATCAGATTGAAAGGCCTAGTTTACAAAGCCACAATTAGGGCCGTCCCACTCTGTGGGACTGAGACTTGAGCCCTTCGGTCTGAGGTGTCTTCATGTTTTGTATCATCGTTGTCTGCGAAAAATTGCTGGTGTCGGATTGCACCAGCATATCCACAGTGTTGGTGTGCATATGCGAGTACTGAATGATGCTAATCAGACGGGCTCCTTGACACAACAATTCATATTGAATAAGTTGCGTTGCCTGGGGCACGTGCTACGTTTGTGTGGCCACTGCTTACCGAGAAGCAGCTTGTATTGTTTGTTGGATGTAGGATGGAGCAAGGCTTTAGGTGTGTACAATTTGATTTGATAGCGGGCAATGTGGGTTTTTGGCGACTCAATCTGTAGCTGTTGGTCCGTCTCACCTTCCAGACTGGAACGCACGTGACCCACCAAGTAGAGACGTTAAGAAGATGGATCGCAGTCGGCACCAGTGGCGGATCTACATTCGTCTCGGAGTGGGACTACCTGTTTAACGTGCATTTGGTACTGAGTTATCTTCGGGGTAATGGCTGATTATGACGCGGGGCAGTTAAAAATATCAATGTCGCTTTTCCTTTACACGATCGACAGCTGTTTTGCCCGTATGTTTTCAACAAGGTGTTAACGTATTCACGCTGAAAATTTGTTCAAAGCATCTAGGTTATACGCTGTGCCTCTTCTCTCCCGCTAGTTATTCTTTAATTCTTGGGCCATTTGTTCAGCAGTGAAGTGTCAGGTAAAGTGACAGATATACTTCTGTTGAGAATGATGAGAACAGCCAAGTAGATGATGAGACGAAAATATGTACGTTTTCGCGGCCACGGCTTCCCAAGGAACACCTTATTTTGTTTGTCGGACGTAGGATGGAGCAACGTTGTAGGTGAGTAAAATTTGATAGCGCATCGGGAGATGTGATCATTGGCGACTCTACTGGGAGCTGTTAGCCGGACTCGGCTTTCAGGCTGGAGCGCACGCATCCCACGCATTGGTGACCTTACGGGACATGTTTTGACAGCTGACATCATTAGTCTGGCTGCTTTCGTTTCTTAAGCTGACTGCCTTTGTAAACTGCAGCTAGCGCCGATTTTTCTTACGTGTACTAGCTGATTACTGCGATTTTCATGCATTCAGTTTTCATCAGGACATTGGAAATACGTTGTCAGGTGACATGCTCTTGTGTTTCATCGAGACATTATCGATCTCGCGTGTATAATAACACGATTTATTTCCTCTGTCTGTCGACAAAATCCATTTGTACGGCGTATCTGGATGCGATGTGCTGCCGAAGTCCTTTGCCTGTATAGTAGGTGTCTAGGAATTTCTTTGATTCCAACACCTAATTTATCTCGCCTGTTGTCTCGGGTAAGCTGTTCCAATATTTAAGCGCTTGATGCTACAGATAGTAGGTGCTGAGTTATGCGCTTCTATCTCCGTACTGCGGATGTTGCTTGGTTCGCTCATGTGCAGAAGCTGCCTTAACACAGGGAAGTCACATGGACGTTATATCCGGTGCGTCAATAAGCGGTCACTTCGAAATCGGCAGTGGTTTAGGTTTTACAACCCTTGTCTCCTGCATCAGTCTTCGTATGATGAGCTTGATATTTATCTGCCAAATACGTTCCTGTTTTTTCATCACAAAACGGGTGATCGCACAACAGATAAGTGAGCCGCATTCGCTCATTGGCCTTGTGATGGGAGAGAAGAGACGAGTGCAGCTTCTTCATACCGAGTTCAGAAGTTGCGTCTGATGGCGCTATGCAAGCGCAATACGCTTCCGTCCAGCGTATTGGTGTTGTCCACGGACTTTAGTTCGCGTCGTAAAAGTACGCCTAAGTCCTTTGCGGAAGGTGTCAGGTGCGTCAGTCGGCTGACTAGCTTGTAGCTATGTCCATCATCACCCTTCCTCAGGCCCATGAGTAAGGACTTGAATAGGTCGACCTCCGCAGACTACATGGACACGTGATCGATCTGACGCTGAGGTTTCAGATACTCATAACTTCTCTGGTTTACCGCAAACAAGGCACACTGTAAGGTACTTGGTTGAGGTGGATCAGAAACAGGGTGGGATCTAGTATTTTGCTTTGGCTTTGCGCCACTAGTGGAAGGATACTGGTCTGTTAGATGGTCGTCCACCTGTAACCTTCACCTTTGCCAGATATGGAAGTCGGCGATAGACTTTTGCCTTAGGCCATTAACACCGCTCCTCCTCAGCCTGTGTATTAGGACCTGGTAGTTAACTTTGTTGACCGTTTTACCGAAATCCATTTGAATCTCTTCTTCCTATTCAGCGCTTGCAACCACTCATGTCGCGTCACCAGTAGGGTAGTGATGCATGAGGGACTTTACATGAAACTGAGTTTTCTACTTTGAAGCTGCAGCAGACCCTTCTTCGCGATCTTTTTGCGCACCCTTGGAAAACGGTGATCAGACAAATGAGCGAGTAATTGTCCACGTTGCTTGAGTTACCGTCTTTTGGACTCGGCTTTAACACCAAGCGTTTTCAGTTACCCGACAATGTGCCTTCAGATAGCGATCTGTTGAACTGCGCAGTCACGTGAGGCGCGATGATGATGGCCAGATACGTCCTGAGAGTCATCGGGTGGAGCTAGGTAGGACCGGCAGGCTTCTTGTCGTCAAGACTGGTACGTTGTTTACGTACATCCTGCACAGCGCAACTTGCGCTATAGAGTTCGCTGAGGCTTTGTATGTTGAATTCGGTACAGATGCGCGGCGATTTTCAAATATATAAATAATTGGCACTGCCAGTGCTGACGTACATTCAGTGCATGAAGTTAGCGGCTGTTCGTCAGGACTAGAACATTGTTGCGTCTCCTGCAGGACTCAGGCACCGCTTCACATTTGGAGTGACCCACTTTCGATCCGTCTTCTCCACGTTCGCAAGCTGCTCTTCGAACTGCTGGCGCTTGTGTGCTTTAACGCGGTTGCATAAATCGTTTTGCTTTCTATGCTCATCATATTCGTCGGAATTGTTGGACAGAAGAAAATCACTCCATAGTACGCATCGTCGCCGAACCAACCGATCATGATCCTTGTCGAACTGTGGTCATGACTCTTAGGGTTTGCCTCACATATTCGAGAGTAAATTGTATTTATTTATTTGAATTGTGTAGCTTCACTGGCATAGCTTTACGATACTTGAAGCATACGAATCAAACACACCCTGTTTTGTAACAGACTAACAGACCTCATTAGGTGACGTCTGCGGAAGCGACCAGTGCACCTGCCTAGCTGCTCGAATGAGTCTATCGAAGTCAGTCTTCCAGTTGTTGTTGTTGCCTGGTTCCAGCCAATACGAGTGTTGCCATCATCATTTACGATACACGTTAGCTGCGGGTGAGAAACAGCTCAGCTAATGGGACGCAGAACACGATTAAAGGAGCGGCATCTGTAGGCTGGCTATGGTCACTAGTTGCCAGTGGCTCCAGGACCTGGACATCATACATAAGTTCTACGAAGCTAATCAACATCTAGTCCAGGCCCGACGGAGCTGAATCCGGTGTACTGCGCGCCAGATTTCTTGTGTTGCCTCAGTCTCGTGCCATCTCCGTAAACTCTAGTTCGGCCTCAAAATATCTCAGATAAATCGAACACCCTTGTTGTTCGCTTAGGCCAAACCCCTCTGCGAAGTAAAAACCGGATTTACAACAACATGTTACCTAGATCGTTTTCTATTCTGTTGCACTGAGAGCCTAAATTGCCGTTAAGCTCGAGTTCTTTTACGGTTACCTCAGCCAGTTTTGGTACGTCCGATCGACAAGAAGCAACAAACTGGCGCAGGTCGTCATGCTTGTATACTACACGCAGGCCGCGATGGGAGCAGCCGGGCATATACGAAGCATCATAGCCCTGTTGCTCCGGATTGTGCGAACCTGGATGATTACCGGAAGAGTTACATTTGCGGAGTTTTGGTTTCCCCGCTCTCTGTAGGCCGCTTTTGCTCATTGGTAGCAGACCTTTTTCTTTGTCTGACGGGTCCATGTTTGTGCGAATATGGATCTTCAACCCTTTTATTTTATCAAGACTGAATAGGATCAACCTCCAACTAGGATAGGCCGAGTCTCTCATCTCTGTTTCCAAGACGAATAATTTGCTGCACCCTCAACACCTATACACCCACATCGCGGAGATTATCATGTATAGTCTTCAAAACCTCAACGTCCTGGTGATAACGGGCCTGAGGATTTGCATCAGTTGACTCAGGCGTATGAAATATCTCGAGGTTACAATGTGCTTGATCGTTGGCAGTTACTATCTTTCTTACTTCTTTACGTTTACCTCTTTGTCTTCATCGCTTTGGCTGTCAAACTCCGAGACGTTAGTGCCCGTAGGATGGAACACATACGTACCAGCTAAGTTTCCAATTACAGATGGACATCGTTCCGTTAGGTGGAGGGCAAGTGAATTCGTTCGCACATGCGCATGACTGAGTGTCCGCCTGTTGGGATGAACACATAGATCTCGCCGGTATGGGACGTTTTACCCCTTTTGCTTTCTCGTGTGGTTTATCTACATTTTCTGGCTACATTTTACTCTGGAGCTTCTTACAAAATATTTGGACAGAATCACGCTGAGGCAATGCATAGACTGGTGCATAAATATGAAAGTTCACATGACAAAATGCAGGTAACACCGTTTTCTCTATGCCCGACAATTTTGCAACAACTAGCTTGGGGAATTTGCTCTGTCTTACTAATAGTGTAACAAATATGGCAATAAATTGGGGAATTAATGAAACATTAATGGGAAGACTGGAAAACTACACGACAAAATACAGATCAGCCATGTATACACAATAAGTAAAGTTATAATCAGAAGGATTTCTGAATTTGATTAAAAAGACACGTCAATACTGTTACCCTCAGTTATACACGGTGCAAACCAGCTTGTCGGACCAGCGAATGCCATCCGCTATATATTGAAGGCTGCAAGGTAGCTGATGATGATGCCGTTTTTTCTTTGCATGATAGTGAGTTCTCTGTGGTTGTATGTTGTTGGCAAGATGTATGCACTCTGACCCTGAATATTTGCTTGGGGCACTTAGGTCTTGCTCTGCTCCCCCTTATTTTCCTCTTGTTATTCTTGTTTCTTGGTCCATTGTGGTTGTATGGCAACGAAGAATCAGATCATTTGACTGATGCATTGCTTTTACCGTTGTTGTTGTTGGTTGTTGTTGTTGATGATGATGATGACAACGAATCTTTAAGAACTATTTCCCTTGCTACGTCTGTCAGTTTTGTTATCCTTTTGTAGTCTAAACTCTCCTGCCCTTGTCGACTTCCGGCAAGCCATTAGCTGCACTTCGTGTTTTATAACTGGTCATTCCCAATTCTATTCTACACTTCGGTGCTCGGATCATTTTTATTTAACCGAACTAACCCGAATCATTTTTCCCACTTCCCCGTGAAATTGCCGACTGTGCATATCTTTTGGTCTTCAACGACTTCAGCCTGGGTGATGGATCACTTTTCCCCCTTCTTCCTTGCATTCATCCGTTATTTTGGGTTCCCGGGCGCAGTGAGCGCTTGCGACGTATTGACTGTCGTTTCTGAATTGATCGGTTTCTCGTCCACCCTCGATATTCTGTCGCTGTTTCTAATTCAGTCTACACGTCCACTCCCTATCACCCCTATCCATGTCGTAATTTTCCGAGGCGTGTAGGATGTAGTCGACCGAAATTCTGCCTTATATTAACTTAGTCCTTGGATGGTAACTAGGAATCGTTCATTTAATTTTGCATGCTTTTTGCCCCTGCGTTGAAGATCTTATTTTACCTGAAGACCGTCATGCACCGGATTCCATCGTACTAAAACGGGCACTTCAAGAGGACGGTGGAAACTGCACTTTCACGATGCTGTCATCAGCAGTACTCCGGCACACTGTACCTGATGCTTCGCTGTCACGCGACCATCACCGGTTGCGCGTGGGTTAAGAATACCGCGACGACGCTCGCCACCACGCAGATTCGAACCGGTGACCTAAGGATTGCAAGCCAGGTGTGCAATCCTTTCGGCCACCGTCCGACACACGGCTATGTCAAAGTCACGTTTAAAATTCACACTGCAACTTACTTACATGCCACTTGCATTTCAGAGCTTCTGTTTACTGCCTCCTCAATGTGTTTATAGGCACATTTTCAAATTTTTTGCTTTTTCATGTTGACAGACAGCCGGAGTTGCATTTGTCCACTTTTGCTTTTTTGTGCCATCCTTACATGCGCGCTATCAAACCGGGACCCACTGTGTAACCTGCGACCCTAGCTAACGAGGGGTGGAGAACATTGGAATGTCCACTGTTATTGTTTGTTAGCTTGTTTGATTAATGTGATGCCCGACTGGAGACATGGTTGACTCATACAGTGGACTTGCGGATTTCATACCATCATTTTGCGAAATCCCACAGGATGCTATGTTTGCAATGTGGTAATATCTTTAAAGTTAGTGGTGTTCTGTGTTTTGCTCATTTCTAACGCAAAATCAAATTGCTAGTCAACGTGTTTTGTTCCCAGTACCTCCGTTTAACTTAATCCATTCCTCCTGTTCAGTCGGGCGTCTGTCATATTTGTTTTTTTTGCATCAGTAACACATCACTACCACAATGTTTGTTCATTTACACAGTGATGGTCGCGGTAAACTTGATGTCGGCATCATTCTTTATTTGTTACAGTGTATACAATATAGTTACGTATTTTGTTTTTTTAGTTGTACTGCTTCCAGCTGAGCGTTCGTTAACACAAGAGGACAATGAGGCTTGCTTCCTCATTCCGGGTACTCCGGACCACACTCAGTCTTTGGCGTCGCAGGCAGCGCGATCTCCTCTCTCTCCGCTCATGTTGACGTCTAGGCCAACTTTTCAGCAGTCCCAGTCTACCTACAGCCCTGTTGAAAGACCTCGCAGGCGTGCAGTAGCCAAAAGACGTTCCTCATTTACTGTGCGCAGACAAGCTGAATTGGATGAAAAATGTAGTGTTGTTCTAAACTCCCCTCCCGCTCTTACCGGTGAATCTCAAGCTGTGCGAGACTACAGACAAGCGAAAACCGCCGCCTTTGTTCGTCGCGGCAACTACGACCAACTCAACTACGCTCCATCCGACCAGATACCAACCCATCCTGACGACAGATCAAGCATCAACTCTGAACTTCGTCTTGGGAATTTCAAACCCCGTTCAACTCTTTTGGTATCAAAAGCGCTGTGCCAGGGCAATTCGCATTGTGGCTTTCCTGAGAACCGCGTTGGCACAGGCAGTCGAAAGCAGCCGCTCCTCAACAGTGATTCGTTTACCGAATGTATTAGCGTTTCAGAGAACGAAAACGAAGAAGTGCCAAACGATGAGAACCTTGTTCACTTCTCCGATAATCCACCGAGTAGGACTGGGATGACAGTCATTAATAGTGCATTGAGACAAAATTTGGCTTATAACAAACGTTCAGTTGAAATAGATACCCCACCTGACAATCCGTCCGATGTGTTTGTATCTGGGCATGGAGTATTTCCTGACGCTTCGCTCAGTCGGGATCCTAACACGCAGCTCTTGATCTCTGAACCCAGAGACGCGTAAGTTACGGCATTCGGCTGTTGCCCGCAATTACAATTACATTCCCATTTGTATTGACATCTCCCGTCCATGCTGCTGTTTTCCCCAGCCATGGACCTTAATGATTCTTTTGACGATCAGTAATCTCTGCATATAAGCACGCCTGTGTTATAAAAGAGGATACGTTGATCACCAGCCTGGTACATAAGAACAGTCTGCATCTACCCTTACTTGGTCTAGAACCTCTTAGTTTGTCTTTACTTTACTCTTGAGTGTGTTGATTCGCCGACTGGCTTCCGAGTGGTTCAGCTATCTAGCTTTAGACCCACAAGTCACCGGATGTAGTTTGCTTAGGTACGGATGATATCGATGTACTGGTGTTCGCATTGCATCCCATTATCGATGCAAAGTGCCGACGTAGTGCTGATGTCCTTATCTTTTGTTCGCTGCATTAGCCCCACCGATTCCACTGTGTTAAACCGCACCCATGCTCGTGACCCATGCATGCGATCTGGCCGACTATGCCACTCAAAGAGCCATACATCATCCTTTATACACCTTCGTTTTCTGGCCTCCAACCCACATAGGAGAATGCGGTCTGACTCATTGAATGGTGCACTTTTAGGGACATTTCAGTTGTCCTCTGCTTCCGGACCGCTTTTTGCTCAAGTAGTGTAGACAGGAACATGATCAGTTAGTTTAGCTGAGATTCGAAACCCAATCACATAATCATCAATCCTCTTTGCACAGCTAGCCTGGGTTCTGTTGTGGTCGCACTATTTCAGGATGTAGGCGAAGTCCTGTGCAGAGGCAAGTCCCACTTACAGACTTGTGTCAAAGCACATTGGAATGGTTTTTAAAGTGCGACCAGCAATCTGTTGCTTTGACTTTCCGCCCAATTACCGAGACCCACACCTTTTTGTTTTATTAGACGATTTTTTTCGTTTTCGTTTATACAAATAGCTTCTTACTCCTGCTGTAATTTTCCACTATTGGCTCTGAAGCTAAGCACATATGCTTGTTAAGTTATACTTAACAATACCCATACTAAATCTTCAAAGGCTGATTGTGACAGGCCTCAAGCAGATCCCATTGGGTATCTGCAATCTCACTCCCGAATTGGACTTCCTTCCCACTGCCTTGTCGGTCAGACTGTTGCGTCAAAGTCTAGAGTTAGGGCACCACGAACAAAACCCCTCTCTCGAAAGGGGTGAACCGAAGGGTGACTGGAATCGTCTCAAATGTGGCATGAAGAATGTGTTTGACTCATGCTGTGCACGGAACTGTGAATAGATTTCTGAGACATCGGTCAGCTTGATCGAAGCACGGAAATTGGTTCCGATGGGCACTGAGTTTTGGCGTATCCGTAACTATCTGGAACGACGTCTGACAAGGAGTCTTCGAATCGACTGGGAATGTTGGTGCATGTCAAGGGCCCGTGAGATGGAGAAAGCCAGCGCTCTTGGGAACAGCTGAGTGCTCACTTGAAACACGGGTTCTAAGAAGCCATCACTTAGCGAGACACTAACTGAGGAAGACGGACAATTGATCCATTCTTAGTGTCATCGGGTAGCCCATTGGGCGGAACATTTTGAAGAGTAGTTCAGCAGGCCTGCTGCGACACTGCTGCTTGCCGAATCGCCTGAGCCGTCGTAGGAATTAAATGTCACACTCCCAGCTTTGGAAGAGATTCGACTTGAGCTTTCCGTGTTGAAACGAAACGAGGCTCCTGGATCAGACGACCTTCGTCTATCTTTGTTGAAAGATGGTGGTTACTTTGTTAACTGGACGTGTTTCTTTTTGGAACACGATTTGGGATACTGATAAAGTGCCTTCAGCTTGGCGACTATCAACTGTCGTGCCCACTTTCATGAAGTCAGCTTATTTTTTGAAAAAGTCATCGATACATTAGCCTTATTTCCATTGCCTCAAAACTTCACGCCGGTATCATTCTTCGACTGGTCCCCGTGAGAACCGGATTATAGTAAGCCAGGCTGGTTTCCGCCCTGCTTGTGCTTGTAGCGGCCATATATTTACCCTTCGCCAAGTGTTAGAGCAGAGACACACACAGACGACCGACTATGGTGGTTTTCCTTGATTTGAAAGCCGTCTTCGACTGTGTTGACCGTGCCAGCTTGTGGCACTGCCTTTCCTTGTAGGGCGTGTCAGCTAACGTTCTTTCCATTCTCACTTCCCTCTACCGTGACTCCCGAGACTGTGTGAGAGTCTACGGGAAACTGTCTCCTGAGTTCCACAAGTCAGGGTTGTTCTATATCTCCTTTCCTCTTTAACTTTGTGATCGAAATGATCATGAATGACTCAGTTCTCTCAGACTAATTCTGGAGTGGAAGTACTGCCAGGCGACCGATTGACAAATGCGGACGACATACTTCTCTTTGGGTCTGCTGCTTTGTCTATGCAAACGCTACCACACAAATTCAGGCGTAGCGCTGCACGGTTCTGCATATACCTGTATCTTCAAAAGGCTGTTGCAAGACTGGGCTGACGCACCTGCGGTTCTAGCTATCACCGAACATCCACTGGAAGTGGTAGAACGGTTCACTTACCTTTGTAGCTGTGTCACCTATGGTAATTCCCTCCCTGAGGAAATTACTTTGCGTCTCAAGAAGGTCCGTTTGGCTTTCCAGAGGCTCAATCATCTATGGAGACGGCGGGATATCCGCTTGTCAGTTGAAGGTAGGGTGTATAATGCTGCGCTAGGACCGGTCTTACTGTGTGGATCAGAGCTCTGACGATTTTGCGACGAAGGTATTAAACGGTTGGCCGTGTTTGATCGCGGTGCTTGTGGAATACTGCTCATGTTTGATGGGAACACCGGGTGAGCAATGCTGAGGTCCGCCAGTTGGTTTTTTGCATGAAGTCTTCTGGTGCCTCGTTTGAGTTTTTACTAAATCTTAGTCGGTTGCGTTGACTAGGCCATGTCCTCCGTATACCCGTTGATCGGCTTCTTCGGCGTGCATTATACGTCGTGGCTTCACCAAATTAAACTTATCCGTCCATGACTTGGCTTAAACGCATGAAGCAATTGACTGAGAGACTTGATCAGGCGCGTGCGTACCGTCTTCGTGGATGGGAGCCTCGGGATAGTCTATACGGTTAGTTGGAGACCGTATCTGACATAGCTCTTTCGCGCAGCCAGTGGTGTTCCTGCATTCGTTTTCTCGCATGTGGTCTCATTAGCCTAACCCATCTCCTTGCTTTAATTTTCTCTCCATTCTGTTTGCACGCTACCCCACTATCCAACCGTTGTTATTTGTTGTTGTTCTTGCAATATGAATCTTAGCAACTGGATCCACCGCACTTTTGTGCTCGGATCATAGTTGATCAACTGAACATATCGCAAAGATGTGTTACCCGTCTCAGTCTTCTACTGTTTCATCGGTAAGTTGATCGTTGGGTTTTCAAGGGGCTGATCGTTCGGCAGTTTTAACTGTTGTCTCGGTGAGGTCGTGTCGTAGGATTAGGTGCGTCAGATACTCCTACTTGATGCCTGCCGTTCCATATACAAGCGTTGTCCAAGGCACTTCCTTTGGCACGATCTCGCCTTTGAGGATGTTACGCAACAATTCGTGTGTAGATCGAATTACTCGTTTCCAAAGATCTACGATGAATATTGCAATGTGGATAAACTTCCAACAACATAGAGTTCGTTCTTCCTTGCCAAACTGGCTCAGGAAGCTGCATACTTCCGCTTCATCACCGTGAAAAGTTTGCCCGTTATCGCTGACTAATGTCAGCCAGCCGCGTCTAGCCGAAAATCTTGAGAATGCACAAAAATGAATCGGTATCAATAAAATGAAAAATCGCAATGTTAACCACGCGTGTACTCAAACAGCTGAATAAACATCCATGTCTCTTTCATGCATACGGCCGCGTTGTACCATTATAGGTCCTTAATAAGTACCCCTACAGCAGTAATCGCTGTTCGGAATCTCAGTCACTGATCCTCTATAACCAGCGCTATCAACTGACTCAGTAGTTTCGTATGGTTTATACATAATTTAGCACAATTGAACAGGAGAAACTCCTCCCCCTATCCAATAGCGTCACTGTCGATCCTACTATGTATGTTGAGCCCCAGACTGTCCATTGTTGTAGTGATAATGTATCATAAGAAGTCGAGTGACAAACTGGCGAACTCGAAGTAAAATCGCATGACTCGCCTGGTATGGCACCTAGAAAAGAATAATTAATCTTCAGCTGTACGCTGTAATAGCGCTTCGCTGCCACACGACCACCACCAGTCGCGCGTGGGCTGAGTATACCGCAAGGCGTCAGCCCCTACGCTTATTCAAACCGGTGACCTTATGATTTCGAGCATGGCATCCAGACCACTCGGCCAGTGGCCGGCACCGAGAGTTGATTCTGTCTTCCTCCTGCTCGAATTATCCCGTCTCAATCTGCATGACTTCAGCTTCAACTTCCGTGTGAATGGAGACGCATTTCTTCTGCGAAGATTTCCGCCCATACCGTTTTAACCATATGATCGTAGCTTTCATCGCTTTCTACTGCACATGGTTTGTATGGCACAGTGCTCTTCGGTTGCTTCGGTACGAAATGAAACTTAAAGCGCAGCAGGGTGACGAACGATTTATGCATCGAAGTCCAACTAGGGCAGCGTTTGAATTTATTTATCCAGTTTTCTTCCAATTTGCCAAAAACATGACTAGTACCAAACCGCAACCATTCCGGTGACAATTCACCCAGGTTCTCCGGAGGTATGAGCGAAGAGAATAAAACCTGAACGAGGAATTGCGGACCGTGCAACCAGCTGTTCACTTCTCTCTGATGTAACATCACAAGTCCTCGCGAAGCTATATCAGTCGGATTTTGCGGTGGTTCCAGCTCCCATACATTTCGGCACAAAATGAAGACGGTACTCAACAATCAATCTTTAATTGGCCGATCTGCGGTCTGCTTTTATAACCATTAAATTTAACTGACAATCGGTAGACTTTCCTAAGCTAGTTTCCGCTGGTGTTCTTTTTAAGCACACTTTCTAAAATACGATTTACGTATTTAATTAGTTAAGAGAAACATGGATTGGGCAAAATGATTCCAAATAGTAAGGACTATTGTCTTTTCCATAAGTTCGGTCACCGTAATTATCAAAATTACATCAATTCAATGCCTTAAATCATATTTTAATAAGTATTTTTGAAAACGGTAGAAAATAGGTTTATATTACGTTTTCAGAATCATATAGCATTGATGATGTCCATACCACTCCGAATTCTAACTCTTCATCTCCTTTCTATCCCATTCGGTGGCGTTCCTTGCATTCCTGAGCGCAGAAGCGACTACTCATTGCCGGACGGTCCCTATTTCAGGGCTACGATTCGCTCTGTCAGTCGACACCAGTAAGTCATTACAATTGCAAACTATTTGCAGTTTTTTGATCTCCTAGAAAACGTTTTCAAACCTCATTTGACTACACTCTAATCGTCTTCGATTATGGGTTGCTACTCGTAAATTCTTCTGTCCTTCTTCGTATTACCCATCGTTTTTCTGTCTTATCTATCTGGCATGTGCACTGTAACGTAGCTATCCAACAGGCGTTCTGATAAGTGTACAATTGTTTAAAGTCACGATTAATCCATCTGCTGCGATTTCCCTCTGAATATTTCCGCTCTGTCGGTCAATACACCATTGCTTCATCTCGTGCTTGTTCCCAATGGATCGCGTGCCATATATATATATCTTGTTCTCATCGACTTCACAGAGTAGGTCCTCAATCCACTTGCGTGAGACGTCACGTAACTTGCACTATTGCCCACTCGGTTTCGTCCCAAGTCCATCCGGTCGTAACTTTTCTGCTTCAGTTACCGGTGTTGTCAGCGGAATCATGCACAAAATTAAGACAGCGATGTGCATCACACACTGCGCTTAGAATTCAAATTTTTTGACAGAGTGCGTGTTACCCGATCAGGTTGGTCACGTGGCCCACAGTTTGTGCCGCCATTTGCTTTCGATCGTGGTCCACAGTTCTCATGCATCCACATTCAGTACATATATGATGACGCGTCGTTGATCCCCACCGACAGTGAACACCTCAATCCAATCTGAACATGGCGCAACACTTGTTTCCGCGTTAATTCATCAGACGTCTCTGAGGTGTGGTCCATTGGCATTTTTAGTATAGTCTCCAACTTAGCAGAAGTTAGTCCCATGGTCTCCTTGTACCATTCGGGTGCGCGGTACCGTTGCTGCATCGCTCTGAGTGTTACGAGTTAAGGCATTGTATACTTTGACTTCGGTTGATGCTCGAACCTCTTCATATTTAAGTTCTACACTAAGGACAGCAACCTCATAATGCACCCAAATCTTCACTTTAACGACTTCATCTCGCAACCGCGTGGATTCCACTGAAGAAGTTATTCCATGTATTATCAGTAAGGCCCGTGTGGCTTTCCAAAAGCCCAACCATCTCTGAAAACGGCGAGATATCAGCTTGTCAGTGCTAGGGTGCGATAAGGCCGTTGTTACTGTATGGATGAAAAAAACCTGACCAGTTCGCACTGAGAGCATTAGACACTTGGTTGTGTTTGACCACCGGTGTCTGTGCGGTATCGCTCACGATTGGTGGGAACACTGGATGAACAATGCTGGGGTCCGCCAGTTGGTTTCTAGCAAGAAGCCTTCTGGTGCCTCGTTTGAGTGTTTACTGTATCTTAATCGCTTACACTGGCTAGGCCATAATCGCCGTATCCCCTTCTTCATCGGCATGCATTATACGCCATGGGTACACCAAGTTGAGCGAAACTGCAAGGTAGTCAGTCGACGATATGGCATGGAAGCTAGAAGACTTTGACTGAGAGACTTGGTCAGACTAGTGGTTGCGTCCTCGAATTGGTTCGCATCAGTGGTTGAGGTCTATCGGACCGGATACAGCTGTGCAGCCAGTGGTGCTTCTACGTTCAGTTTCTTGCACCTAAATATCACTTTTCCATCCTGATTAGTTTTACGTACTTCTTCCTTGACACTGTTTTGTCTGTACTTTATTTGCATCCGACCTCATTTTCTTACCAAATGTTTGTTCTTATTCTGGCGACCTGCATTGTACCAACTGCTTCCACTGCATCTCGGTGCCCAGATCATCGTTGTTCAAATTGTGCTGAATGTTGAGGGTGATATCGAATCCCACTTTTCCTTGCACTGAGCTACAGATGTTGACCGTATCTTGGAAGACAGATATTGGATTTTACTGCGGTTGCTATCTTCCCTATGATACGGGTGCGGGTCCAAGCTGCGACGTGGATCACTCCAGGGTTAAAAGACCCTTGGAGGATCGGGTTAATTCCTAGCAGTCTCTAGCATCCATCGTTGTGGATCTTTGATATCATCTGCTTGGCGCCACTTGGGTGCTGCTAAGGCGACTCTTCTTCGTCGTTAACTGCTTTTACTGATCCCAGACTCTACTTGCTTTTTGTCTTGGAGAATGTGACCACACAAATACCGTCTCAGAATGTAAGCAGACGCCTCTTTTTAATGCGATCCCAGGTACACCATATTCATTCCCTCATGCTTCAATCATTGGCATTTTAGCGGCCACACTCATATGTGCGTTTCCCGGCCGTTATCAGCTTCCAACCAGCCATGTGTTCTGCTGCCTCAGCTCTTTTTTACATTTTCACAAGCTCGGTCACTTGTATTTCTACCACACGTGTTCGCGGCCCTGGTTTCCTTTTAGTTCATTATGCTGTCTACTACCTACGTGTCCTTGTTCATCTTCCTCAATCTCGACTTCTCGCACCTGTAACACGCCTAATGGTACAATATTTACTCTACAAATGGGGGGTTTCACTCCATGTCCCCTTGTCGAATTTTGCACCTCATGGATCGACGCCCATTTGTTCAGTGGAGCTTAGCACTCGTTGTTGGGTTTTATGGACGGATAACGCGCGGAATACACACACAAACATTCCGCGGATCACATTTCCACTCAGCGTATAAGTGTGACTTTTCGAACCTCAGGCATGAAAATGTGACGAACTCGGGCTTACTCCACACTGACAGCTATGTGTGCAGCAATGTTTCTACTCTTTTGTTTGACGTCCTCAAGCGCTAGTTATCTCTCCATAACCCGTATTTCGCTTATCCTTTGATGCAGCATCAATGAGGGGGTAGAGGTGGTGAACGGTGCTCCTGTCAGTCCGAAATTTTGGCTTGGTATGCTCCCTCAGGTATATCAGGGGAATGTATCACAGTATTGACAGTGCACCTCTGGCCACTTCTCAGATAGAAACCTCTGGATACATGTAGAGTTTCACAGAACTACTTCGATCAGTGACCTACAATTCGGCTTCTTCTGATTGACCAGTGGGTCACCGCTTTTCTTTTTCTTCCGGGTAACTTTATCCGCTTACCTTTGCCTTCGGGCCCCACAACGATCATTGCATCACTTTTGTCTTTTAGCTATGTGCTTAAATGGGTTATTATTATTACTTTTATTGTTATTACTATTATGATGGTTCAGTCGTGCTTGCGGCGAGGCAGTCCAGGCACTCATCTTGCAATCCAAGTGTCCACCAGTTTGTATATTCAAGTGATCTCGCGGCACCCCATCACGCATGCAACTGTCAGCAGTTTACTTATGACGAAGCGTCGATATGAGGTTCCGGTGTATTGCTTACTCCCATCTTTTCCATTTTATTAGCAACCACAGAAACACTTCGTAGCACTGGACAGAGATGAGAAGCGCATGGTTGGAGGAGTGGAATTGTGGCTCCACTTATTTTTTCCTGAATTTACTTACCGGCAGCTGTTCGCTGACGGCGGCTTCACTCCAGCACGCTTGATTTCTCGGATCATAATTTCTGGCTGACATTCTTTCTCATTAGCATACCTAAATAGCTATCATCATCGGCCTCTCGGTTTCTTTCTTGTCAAAGTTTCCAAACCTTGCTGAATCATTCCTTTATCGGAGATTAATTTTCTATTCTCCCATTGTCGACATCTCTGTTGACACACTTCTCTTTTGCCCTTCGAAACCCAACTATTTGTGGCCCAATCATGTAGCTTGTAAGTATAACTTGTTAAACTTAACTGACCGTTCTCTGCAATCACTGACCGTGTGATAGACCTGCCGTCCCCACCATCCTTTGTACATCGGATTGCTGATACTGTATATCCAACTAATTTACTGGCGCATCTTATTGCATTGCTGCTTGTAACGTACGCTTATCTAACGTTTTTTTTCTAGCAACGGCGTTTCTGCTTCTGCTTTGGCATTTCCAGTGGGTACGGTCGAGCGTCATTCCACCGAGGAGATAGAACTGCATTTGGATTTGCGTGACTCTTGGTGAGTCAGTGTTACCTCGGCTCTTCATCTTAGCGTTTTTATGCATCTTGCACTTCTCTTTGTGTAATTGTTGTGTCATGCACCAAACTACACCATAGATTTCCATCCCCGCACTATTCTGCATTGCTTCCACTCCGTGTTATTGTTTTCCCTACCTGTCACAGCATCACACACATTTTCTGCGGCACCATCGCTCTATTTGTGTAAGTAAAAGGAATGCCTTCAGTTTACTCTGACATATGAGCCAGTTGACCCCTTAGGACTATAAACCCATATATATCTATCGTCCTCATGTTATTTTTCACTGTGATACCATAAGTATCCATTTGGAAAATTTGCTCCGACATTAGGTGTCTTGAAATCGACTAGTTTCCCTGTTGACACTACAACAGTCCTAGTCAATAGCTATGCTAATGTGATAAATCTTGTCTATGGATGTATCAGTTTAGGGCTTGAAGCTTAGAATCATTACGGATTCGTGAATATTTGCGATCCCATGTACTGCAGTTTGTTTCATAGCTAATGAAAACCTTTACCGCATCCCTCTACGCAGTGACTTGATTAGTGTACCTTTTGATAGTCCTTAACTTTTACCAATCCAGCTTTGTATATGCACAAGCAAGTAGAGTACGCAGAATTATCAACGTGTGATTAGCTTGCCGAACTGTTATAATCCTTTTATGCTGCGTTTCTTTAAAGATAAATTACTTGCAGTACCTATTTCTATTCCCCCACTTTTAGCTCTAGTTCTTGTGCATTTCTATAGTGTCTTGCTTCTATTCATGATTGTACTATTTCAGGGTTGAAACTGACCTCCAAGTGGGCGACACCGTTAACATCCTACCTGGAGCTGAATTCTCGTCCATAGGGAAGCACATTACGATTGATGACAGCGAAGCCTCCGGTTCCGCTCCAGGCACACACATTCCTGCGGCCGTTATTCACCATCCAGACACGCTGATCCCCGGAACCAAAATCACTGGTAGTTACTACTGCCTCCGTCGGTCGATATTGGAGTCATTCTGGCCTGCGGGTGATGATGGGTTGGACGATAACCTGCTTGAAGATCGTCAGGCGACAACAAATTACAAATCTCTTATGCTGATCGGTAGCATAGTACATGAGTTATTTCAGCGAGTGAGTGCGGAAACAGTTTACTTTACCCGCTTTTTCCGTGCCGTTGACTGCTCTCTTCGCTTACTAAGTACCAGTTCCAACGTATAACTTGTCGTTTAACGGTGCTTTTACTTTGCACATCCTCCGAATCATTGTGATCATGAAAAGAATGAAGCTTGCCACTGAACGTGTTTGTTGTGAAGTCGCTCTTGACTGGTCAGTTGTTAAGGACTCATTATGGATATTGTCAACACAGTTTCTCAATGGGACAGTGCCCTTAGGCACTGTCCTCCCATACACTTGCCTTCACGAAGTATCGTTGCTGGTTGTATCGAGAATCATCTTTATTGACTAGAGGTGATCACCTATTTATTATTGCATTTGATTTGATACACTGCATGGTTTCTGTTCGCTCGTGCTTTGTCTGAGTGATGGTACCTATTGGGCATTTACAGCGATGGATCAAACTATCTATTTATGGCTTCGACTGGGCCACGCTTTACTACTTGGTGACTGAGTCACAAGCGCCCTTCCTCTACCATACGCGTCACGTCCAGCGAGCGTCTTATAGGCTCTTCCCACTTTCAATATCTTGGAATAAACTTGGAACTGACTCGGATATCATAATTTCTAAAGCTTTAGAATACAAATCGGTTTTCTCTGGGCTTGCATTGTGACTACGTTTCGCCCTTGACACAAAAACTACTTCAGGCCAGATGAACCATTACTGATTTGGCTTGGCATTTTATAGCAATTAGAACAATGATAGCGTGACATAATCCGGCTCAGTGGAAAATGTGCTTACAGTTTCAAAGGGTCAAGAGGTCAATCGGGTGGAACATTGCACACGGGACCATCCCAATTGATCCGTGTAATTGCTCATTCACATGTGAGGCAGTGCTGCTATTGCTCTTGGCTTTAATGATGATGGTTCGATGTTTACGCTCCGACCTGAGTCCGTGCGCCTAAGCTGCTCAGACTGGCCGACTTAAGACAGCCCGCCACGCGTTCCATAATTCCACGCCATCTATTCTGTTTACACACTTATTGGTCCTGACGATTTCTAGCGCTTCAGCAATTAACCTTTGTCTTGTCATTCTTACTCCTCTCCTAATGATCTCTACATTGTGCCAGTCGATTGCGTGTTCCGAGTATAGCGCATGTACTGCTGCCTCCGAATCCTTAAGTAAAGCCTCTTATTCGGACTCACGTTTTGGTGGACGCGAAACGTTCCTCTTGTGTTCTGCTATCCTAATGCGTAGTTCTCTATGCAACTAATTTTATGAACGCAATTGATCCTCCCATCTTTTGAAAGTGGATCCTTCAAGCGCATTAATGTTGGGCGGGGCGTTTGCCCTCTTATCCTCTTGTTTAGCATCCGCCTGATCGTTTCAGATGTTCCCACTTTATAAGGGATTCCCAAAGTCCCAATCCCCTCCGTCGTACTCTGTGTATTTGATTTTAGCGCTCTCTACAATTAACTTTTAACTAACCGCCTGGGATATCCACTACCTATTAATTTGTTCATTGCCTCTCTGTGCATCCTTCCTGTCCTCTTCTCTATGCACGGGTCTGTGTCTTGTGAAGCAGAGTGGATGCAATCGCAGCATACCCATATTTCAGATGACCAGAACCATAGTGTAGCATTCCATCTATATCTATTGGTTTTCGAAATATGATTTTTTTAGCCCTCCTCCGTTCCTGTTAACTAAACTATCATGTAATGGCAGTGTGCTCCCGCAAAATTCTAGTTCCATGGTAAATTTATGTTCGGATAGTTTACAAACCCCATTTTTCTTACCCTCCTTAATGATAACAAAAGTATGATCCACGTAGTGCCGCCAACTTTTTGGCGAGCTACTGGAGTTTGTCAACGCCCTCTTTTCAAAGTCTTCCATATAGAGATTTGTCAGTATCGCGAATATTGGTGACCCTATGGCAAGGCTATTTTTCTTAGCATACAACCTCGACTGGAACGTGAAATATAACATACTAAGGTATACTTTCATTCCTTCTATTATTTGGTCTACTGTGAGTTTTGTTCTTTCCCTCAGGCTACTGTTCTCAGTCAGATAGCGTTGTGCTTCCCCCACTGCATCACTCTTTATCAGGTTCTTCCCACTTCCCCTTTTCGTGAACACCCTACCCTTATTGCTTTTTTTCCTTTTGTTTGTCTTGCTGCACCTGCTGACTAATTCTTCCGTCGCCTCGTACAGCTCATCGTTTCTACGGAGCCCACGGTGCAGCAAGGGCGCGAATTGCTTGAAGTTATTCTCCGTCGACCGGAAACTATGCTTCAGTTGTGAGTTTCGCTGATATCCGTTTTGATTGATTTCATTGAATCGACAGGACCAATGAGGCTTCCATACTTGGAAACGTGTCCACATATATTTCAAGGGGTTATTTTCTTACCGGAGCTTCGTCAACGTTTTGTATTATTATTATTATTATAGGTAGAATTATTATTATTATTTTGTATTATCTCTGCCTTAAATTTCGACAATTTACCTCCCATATGCATCCACATCTGCTGCACGGCCACATTCATCACACGACGGTACGACACGGTTGTTTAAATATGGTCCGAGTACCAAGACGGAGTGCTTCCATTCTCCTTGATTTTCAATTGAGCAACTATGATTCGGGCACCGAATTTCACTGGATCCAGTTCGCATGAATCGCTTCACCAGAAGACATCTCGAGTACACCGGTACGCCGTACCGACGCTTCGCTGCCATGCAAACACCACCAGTCACGCATACGCTAAAGATACTGCGAGGGTCATCCGGTCCCCTTCGCTTGCTCGAACCGGTGACCACCGGGTTGCAAGGCAGATACCTTGTCCTTTCGCCCCCCGGCCAGCTGCGTAAGTACTTAATAATGTGGAGGAAACTGAGGGTCACCGAAAACATAATGTAGAAAGAAAAAAGGTCAGCAAGCGTTGATTTAACCGGAGTGAAATATTGGGTGCCAGAAACTAGATGCAGGAGTCCCACCTATTGTGTCATATCCGACAATCTCCAACTACTGATGAGGATCATCCCAAACCCCCATCCACCTGGATGGTAAGAACCAGTCTGTTGAACTGCCCTGATCACTTTCGTTGTGCCACTTCCTCTGCTAGCAACCTCCTGAAGTCTTCCAACTTGGTGCCGAGAAATGGGATCAACTGGAACACAGAAGAGAGCCTGATGAACTTAGGATGTTTAAATTTAATGGATATCCTGTTCGACACCACAAGACTTCTTTCAAGGCACTGACAAGCTTCACCTTTTCTCACCTACAGCTTAGTTACTAAATGCTATCACAGCCCTCATTCATTTTCTCGCTGATGCCTCTACTCTCACAACCTCACCATGTAAGTATGATAGTGAGGTCCTCTGCATTGCACTAACTTCCCTGTCCGAACACGTCTAGAAGCAATAGACAATCCGGTTAACTGGAATGAACCGATCATGGTGGCAGTGTATTTGAAGGTTAGTCGCGTCGAATGTGTGCAACACAAGGACATTATCCTGACATTGGTGGTGACATGGCTAGTGGCCTCTATTTCCATTTGCCGCTTCACTTTGATTGGGAATCTCGGATGAGGGAAGAGTAGGTATGTTTCTGCCCAGAAGCGGACTTTATAGACTATATATTCACTCTGAGGCAGGTGTCAGAGCTACATCACACGTACCACAGACTGACAATACTTGAGGTCCTCTATCTTGCGAATCCTTTCGACTCAGGCGATTGATCCATTCTGTTCTTGAGGTGTTCCGATGCACTGTGTGAACATCTTACATGCCTTGTACTCGATCACCACAGGCTGCGTCGGAGTCTGCTATGACTTGTCGGATATCTTTTCGACAACAGCTGGCGTCGGCTAACTTTGTCGGCCGGTGGCCGAGTGGTCTGCACGTTTGTTTTGCAACCATAAGGTCACCGGTTCGACTCCGCGTAGGGGTGGGCGTCCTCGCGGTATAATCAGCCCGCGCGCGACTGGTGGTGGTCGCGCGGCAGCGAAGCGCCTTTACGGCGTATAAGCTGACGCATTTTGTCACATTGCCACATACTTCTCCGCTTACAAAATTTACCGATGCTGTCTGGTCGTTACTTAGTTGATTTTCATTATTCTGAGAATATCGTTTTGCTGTTTTACGATCTTAAAATGGTCAATGAATAATCTCCCTGGTGTGGGCTCCTGATCTGGCCTATGCCTTGCACTTTCGAAGCGCCCATTGCTTTTAGGAGACCACCAACCACTTGATGACCCTTTGACCCTTGATGGCGAGGAATTTGGGGTAGTTAGTCAGCTACACGAGCACCACCAGGCGCATGACTACTGAGGTTAGGTTACTTATTGCAGAAGCTCGAGGTCGCTTCTTGAACATGCGATCTCTATGGCGTCAGAAAGGGATTTCGCTCATTTTGAAAGCCTTTTATGCAAGGCCACAGTGAAGGTTCTCCTACTCTGCGACAGTTAGACTTAGCTTCTTCGATCCGAGGATCAGATACGTTTTAACTCCCTTGATCATCTTTGTCTGCGAACCATTGCTAGTGTCGAGTGGTACCAGTATATCCACAACGTTGGTGTGCGTGTGTGAGTACTGGGTGATGCTAATCAGAGTGGCCCCTTGGCACAACAATTCATATTGACTAAGTTGCGTTGCCTAGGGCACGTGCTACGTTTGCGTGACCGCCGCTTACCGAGGAGCAGCTTATGTTGTTTGTTGGATGTAACATGGGGCAAGGCTTTAGGTGGGTAAAATTTGATTTGATAGCGGGAAATGTGGTCATTGGCGACTCAACCTGGAGCTGTTGGTTCGTCTCACCTTCCAGACTGGAACGCACGTGACCCACCAAGTAGAGACGTTAAGAAGATGGATCGCAGTCGGCACCAGTGGCGGGTCTGCATTCGTCTCGGAGTGGGACTACCTGTTTAACGTGCATTTGGTACTGAGTTATCTTCGGGGTAATGGCTGATTATGACGCGGGGCAGTTAAAAATATCAATGTCGCTTTTCCTTTACACGATCGACAGCTGTTTTGCCCGTATGTTTTCGACAAGGTGTTAACGTATTCACGCTGAAAATTTGTTCAAAGCATCTAGGTTATACGCTGTGCCTCTTCTCTCCCGCTAGTTATTCTTTCATTTGTGGGCCATTTGTGCAGCAGTGAATTGTCAGATAAAGTGACAGATATACTTCTGTTGAGAATGATGAGAATAGCCAAGTAGATGATGAAACGGAACTATATACGTTTTCGCGGCCACGGCTTGCCAAGGAACACCTTGTTTTGTTTGTCGGACGTAGGATGGAGCAACGTTGTAGGTGAGTAAAATTTGATAGCGCATCGGGAGATGTGGTCATTGGCGGCTGCACTGGGAGCTGTTAGCTGGACTCGGCTTTCAGGCTGGAGCGCACGCATCCCACGCATTGGTGACCTTACGGGACGTGTTTTGACAGCCGACATCATTAGTCTGGCTGCTTTCGTTTCTTAAGCTGACTGCCTTTGTAAACTGTAGCTAGCGCCGATTTGTCTTCCGTGTACTAGCTGATCACTGCGATTTTCATGCATTCAGTTTTCATCAGGACATTTGCAATACGTTGTCAGAAGACATACACCTGTGTTTCTGCATCGAAACGTTATCGGTCTGTCGTGTTGAATCACACCATTTATGTCAGCGGTCTATCAACTGCTGTGGAGCCCTCATGGGTCCACAGAAGTTGCACGCCGAGCGGTTTCCCTCTCACTGACCCTGTCACACCGGTTCTGCATGGCAACGCACACAGATGACAGTTACACCGATGTTCCCTCGGTGTCACCGTTATCTATTTCTATTACGTCACCTATCAGGCGACAGTTAACCTGTCGCAATCAGCCCGTGTTCCCTCGGTAACCCCGCTGCTTGGTTACAACTCCCATTAATTGATGTTCGCCTTCCTAAATGCCTTTTTGCACTCATCAGCCCGAAAACACGGTGCTATAAGTACGGAGTTGTAGGATTTATGTTCGCCTTTCTTCTGTAGTCAGTAGAAGCGCTCTTGGAGAAAGGCTATCTTCTCTCTCGGTCTAGCAGTGCAGTTCTGGGATTGTGCTCCTCTCGCTTGTGCGATAATCGCGGCTAGGAGCTGCGGGGGCATACGCGTTTTGTTTTTCGTGCAGCTACTTGACGCGTGGGGAACTACACCGACAAGCGTTATTGGCTCGGCTAAGCAGCATGCTTAACACGACATAATTCAGTTGTACGTCGTCTTATCTAGATGCCATGTGCTGTCAAAATCCTTGGCGCCTAGAGTAGGTGTTTAGGAATTTCTTTGAATTCCAACACCGATTTTATCTCAACTGTTGTCTCCGAAAAATTATTCCAATATTTCACCGCCCGATCCTGTAAGTAATATGTGATGAGCTAGGTGCTTTAGATCCGACGCTGCGAGCGTTGCTTGGTACGCTCACGTGCAGAAGCGGCTTCAGCATAAGGAAATCGCCTGGATGTTATATCCGGTGCGTCAGTAAATGGACACTTCGAAATCGTAAGTGGTGATAGTTCTACAACCCCTATCTCCTGCATCAGTCTTCGTGTGACATACATCGTAAACTGGAGATGAGCCTGGTATTTACCATCCAAATACGTTCCAATTTTGCACCTCACAACAGGTAATCGCACAATAGACAAGTGAGCCGCATTCGATTGTTGGCTTTGTGATGGGCGAGTAGAGGCGAGTGCAACCTCTTCATACCGAGTTCAGAAGCTGCGTCTGATGGCCCTATGCAAGCGCAATACGCTTCTGTCCAGCGTATTCGTGTTGTCCACGGACTTTAAATCGCACCGTAAAAGTACGCCTAAGTCCTTTGCGGAAGGTGTCAGGTGCGTCAGTCGGCTGACTAGCTTGTACCTATGTCCGTCACCACCCTTCCTCAGACCCATAAATAAGGACTTGAATAGGTCGACCTCTGTAGACCACGTGGACACATGATCGATCTGACGCTGAGGTTTCAGATACTCTTCAACTTCTCTGGTCTTCCGCAAACAAGGCACACTTTAAGGTACTTGGTTGAGGTAGATCAGAAACAGGATGGGATGTAGTACTTTGCTTGGCTTTCCGCCACTAGTGGAAGGATACTGGTCTGTTAGATGATCGTCCACCTGTAACCTCCACCTTCGCTCGATATGAAAGTCGGCGATCAACTTTTGTCGTAGACCATTAACACTGTCCTTCCTCAGCCTTTGTAGGTGGATCTGGTGGTTAGCGTTGTTGACCGTTTTACTGATATACATATGAACCTCTTCTTCCTATTCAGCGCTTGCAACCACTCA